TTGTCAATGATTGCTAATAAACAGATTTAGCAATTTAGTAATTTGTCCTCGACAGTGAACAGCCATAAGAGAAACTGATAAAGCAGGACATAAAACAGTAACAACAAAGATGCAAGGTCAGCCTTACGTTGGCCGTTAAGCCAACAAACTATGAATTCATTGGGTGCCCGTATCCACTTCATGGCTTTGGAGCAAGGAGAAAAAGACAGAATGATTCGTGGAGCAGTTAGCAAACAACAGTGCTCAACTGCGGCCATATCCAGCCAACTCATTTCCCTGCAGCTGTGCAGCTGGATTGTTAACCATCTTTAGCGATGATATATTGCTGCTAGAGCAAACGGCGGCGATGTACACCACTTGTGGTCTTCATTCGTTATCTGAGGAGTTGGGTGGGAGAGTGAAGATTATAAACGGTTTATGTATCCGTAAGGCGTGTGCAATAATTTAAATTAACGCAGCTTATGATATAAATACAAAACTACATTACGAAAAAAATATACATAAGAAATATATAACGGAGCATTCTGCTTGTCAGTTAGTAGTCATAAAGAAAAAACAACATAACACATAATCCGCTCTGTCGCATAGATTAGCACCGAGGTTATAGCCCAAATCACATAGACTCCTTCAAGATAGAGGTGGTACCATTTGCCTGAAACAGAGACCATCTACAGCAGCAAGTGATCGTTGTTGCAACCGGCGTTAGCCTATTACCCGAGTGACCAAAACGTTGCCATCTGTCTAAATAAATATTTTGTGCTGAATTTTGCACTTTCTACTGTACTTAACATTTTGTATTGCACTTCGTATTTGTATCGCAACATACTGTACTATATACCATACTCCACTCTGTATTTTATTCAATAATTAATTAGAGAAAATTAATTATTTGTTTGCCGTCTCTTTCCAAGCACTCTGTTTTAAAAACGTCCAAATTTTCGTAAAGCCAACTTGTCTAAATGTCTCTTTCGACAACCTTAGCAGCAAATGTTTGCCATCAGTGAAGGCGGGTGCAACTCAAAACGCCATTCGAGCAAATTTCCGTAAGGCTTTTTAAAACAAGCTGATTCAGTAATTTACGAAATACACGTTAAGTACCAACAACAAATTTTCATGATCTGAAGAACGAGGAATCATCAGGACAGAAAATACACAACTTCCGTTCTTCAAAGATAAACCTTTCGATCGATTAATCTTTCATATCATTTATTCTTCGACTGTTGCTCACCGTTCCTTCATCACCATGTACGATTCAACTTCTCCACACTGCCGATTCGCTGAGCCCAAGAAACGAACGTAAAAATATTCAGCTGATTCA